CTCCCTGACATTAACATACATAGTTTTTCATTCGCAGTCTGCATAAACGCGACCTTCTCCGGGTCTGACTTTTATTATTATTCGCTCGATGCCAATAGAGTCACGCGCTCAATGTCAACACGATAGTATATCAGCATCGAATATACGCGCGACGAGAAATATACAATAGAAAAATTCACGCTATTCTCTCCTTGATCCTTGTACAATCTCTTCTGGACGCGGACAGAAGTATTTTTCTATTAACATGGACAGTGAAAACGCGAGACACGCGTGTATCATTGAAGTATATCATGTGCGAGGACGCGACTGTAGCTCTCACTATTGACGCAAGTGCAATAAATATTTGAGCACACGCACATATATAGAAACACTGGCTACTTCTCGAGTTGACACATCGTCGATACGTTTCACTTCGCTGCCTTTTTCTTCCGCTCGAAATTTCAAGAGCGCATATATTGCTCCGATATTCGGAGTATTTCTCAGATACATGATTTAATAGTCGATAATGGATTGTTTGACGAATTTGGAATCGAGCTTTTCTCGTAGAAAAAAAATTAGGAAAAAATTAATTTATATTCTTTTTATTGCTTCTTGATTTATATTCATTTATATTGAATATTATTTCTTTTAAGTTTAAAGTTAGACTTTCAATTTTATTTGCAATTTTTTGTATAATTTTATACTACTTCGTGTTGTAATTTTTTTACTGTATTTGCAGGAATTATATTTTTTACATTTTTAACGTTATAATTTTTTTGTTGTACAAAAAAAAAAAAGAATATTCTTGTTTTGAAAATATCTTTAAGTTTCAACAAGGAAATCTTGAGATGAAATTTTAATGCGTTGAGTGAAGAAAACTTGCTTTTAAATGAAGAAAAATGTATTCTTATGTATATTGAAGATTATATTTTCTTGATTGAACTATATAAAATAAGTTCATTCAAGCAAGTTTTTTTCAGTTAACGCAATATAATCTCATTTCAAAATTTTCATATTAAAATTAAGGATATTTTCAAAACAAGGATGTTCATTTTTTCTGTGTATTTTTATAAATTATACCTTTTATATAATTATTTTATATAATTATTATATATTATTATATAATTTTATATAATTATTTGGCCTTATATATAACACAAAAATAAATATATAAAAATAATAAAAAATACACATATATCTTTTTTTTAAATCACTAAATGTGTTTTCAACAACAACAAAAAAATAATTTGCAAAAGTACATTTCATGCGAAAATATATTAATTTGCACAGGGAACCCATGAAATCTTTCGTGTGTAATGCGGAACACATTAATTAATCGATAAGATTAACCGGTTATTATATGCAAAAAATTGTGCGTATGTATAGTAATTAGCGCGCAAACGAATGACTAAGCAACGGACTTAATTATCGAGGTATTATTAATGCGAATGTGTTACAATATATATAGACAATATATATATATATATATATATATATATATATATATATATATATATTACAGATACAGATGCGTTTTTCTATTTTGTTTCGCATCCTTCGAGAGTACACGCAATAAGAATTTCAGATACGTGATTCTAGAAAAGATATTATTTGCAGATAAGAGAGACGCAGTCACGCGATTTAATTATAGATTGACATATATATTCATCAGTCATCATCGCGAGTGTACGGGTTATAAACGGAATTAACGACATGAAAGTACAACCGAATGGCTTACTTATCGTTACACGGCAAAATTTCGTCTATTGTTGTCGTCAACTCGTCGTAAAACTGGCATATTTGCATATTTTTGTATTCATGTAAACACTTGGAAGCGTATGTATCGCGCATGTAGCTCTTTCTAAGCTTTACGCTTTGGACCCTGTTTACTCTAAGTATGAAAAATTGATGATTTTTAGGAATTTTTGTTTGAAGAATTAGAAATTGAAGAATTAGAATTATTAGAAATTGATTTCTTTGAAAGCAACGATATTTTAGTATCAATTTTGATATTTTTAAATGCAGGATATTTAGCTATTTTTTTGTTCAATAAAACATATTCAAAAATGCATAGTGTGATATGTTACTTCTCATATAACTGTTTGAAATAAAAAAAAACGCGATCTAGTTTTATTCCGTAAGATATTTTTGGAGTAATTTCGGAAAAAATGAAAAACAACAAAAATAGTGTTATTTCAAATTAGATATTTCAATTTTGCAGAAATTTTTTCATTCTTTGAAGATCATAAAAATATTAAATAATTAATTTTTTAAGTTTTCTAATTAGATTCAGTTCTACAAAAATATTCTACGGAAAAAACTACAAAACTAGACCGAGCATTTCCATTTCAAATAATTACACAACGAGTATATCACATGCATTTTTTAAGATGATGCTTATATTGTACAAAAAAAAAATTAAATATTCAAGATCTAAAAATATTGATGACATATTATTTAAATATCAATGAAATACATATAAAACATCTAAAAAAAAAAACGAATTTACAATATTTAAAAAAAAATCAATATTTTAATATTGCTAGAATAAATTGTGAACCCTTAATATTAATTTGTAATATTAATTTTTAAGGCTTTTCTTTTGTTCCAGTCTTCTCATACAATTGTTCCTTCTTATTTTCATTCCGAACAGTTATGGGTTTTATTTTATCCGCAACAGTTATAGGTTTTATTTTATTTCTAACAGTTATAACAGAATAAATTTCTAACAGTTTACTAACAAATTGACGCTTGTTAATTAAATTTATTTAGTTTGGAAAATTTATTTCGACGACAACCTAACGAAAAAAAAATATATATTGTATATGAAAAATATATTAAAAAATATATAAATCGTTGAAACGTGAACTACTTGAAACGTGTCAACTACACATAAAATTATATTTTTTCTCTTTCACATCGGTATCTTATCAAACTCAGGGCCGCAGTTGTAATTATGTCGCGACATCCTTTTATCCAGACAACCATGTCGAATTAACAGAAACTTTAAATTTCTCGAATTTTGAATCATGCATAAATAGGAGTAGATGATTTTAACCGGCTTGAAGTGAAAGAACATCTTTCTGCGAATGTAAATATTTTTTTCTCTGATATTTTATTGTGATTGGAATATTATTATTAAAGTTTTATTATTTTCAGCTACGACAAAATTTAATAAATCTAATACATTTCGAGATTCATGAATTTTAGAATTGCACAAGGTACTTCTAAAATTAATAATTAAAAAACTCGTGAGTTAAAAATAAATAATTTAATTTCAAAATCGTAAACGTTATCTGATGTTGATCTAACATTTTTGTAGTGACTGTACCACAAAAGTTTTATAATGACTGTACAAAAATTGTAATTCTATAGAGTAAATCTTTTCTCTATTTATTTCACAAATTAATTGTTAATTAGATTTATTAACTTTTGATCCAGTGTAATTGATCCGGTTCTTGTTTAAATGTCACGATAGCGCTATCGTTTCGTAGTTAAATGATTCACTCTCAATCGCAAAATAGAAATAAAACATATAGTTGCGAGTCAAAATAAAATGCAATATGCATTAATAATTCATCAAGATCTTGCTCTTATCTAATTAATTTCTAAAAATAATTTCAATGCTAAAATTCTTTGGAATAATTCTCTTTCTCTAGACAATTCGCGCTATGGATATATAACACTTATTTTATTTTTTATTCAAAACAAAAAATAAAACGAGTACTTTTCACAATAAAGTAAAATATTAAAGTGGGTCAAATTATTAAGCAGAATTAATATGATGATAAATTTCGTTGGAGATAACTACTACGTGAAAACTAAAAATAAAAAACATTTCGCATCCGTTATCGTGTTTATCAAACGAATTTAATTCTATAAGAGTATTGTAAAAAAGAACCTTGAAGAAATTAAACGTCAACGATTGCTCTTATCAGTTGGCTCTACGACTGCCTTTTCGTCGTCATCGAGCAATTTCGACGCTATTATTCGCTTACTTGACATAATAGTCGCTTGCAAGATCCTACCATGTGTGTCACGTGCGTTCAATTTAGACCCAGCTTTCCGATCGCGTGCACGACTCACCTGCTGCTGGCAAAATATCAGCCAGCTGATAAGAACCACCATCTCAGAGAAGGAACATCAGTGCGACACGTGAAATGTTCCGCGAAATAAGCGTCCGTGAAATCTGGAGTAACCCGAAATATCCGTATATTTCCAGCGAGGCAGGATTTCGTAGGATGACGTAAAAGACAGTCACGTGAGGACAATCCATGTTCCAACTGGTGACAAAATAGAAGCGCTCGATTGATGTGACGCTTCTTTTTTTCTCGTACGTTTGATTATCAAAGTAACTGTGTCCTAAAATTATGCTGGTTACCATCCTCATTTGAAACCGGTTCCTCTCGTTTTTCGAAGTTGATGTGAGAACTGATGATGCAGTTCACGATGTAATCGTGAGACGTGCATTGTTTAATCGAATATTGCTCTCTCTCTCTCTCGATGTGCCAGATTATATTTCAATCTCATTATAATCTGGCTTTTCAGGCGTAAACAACTGAGTCAGCAAATTAGTGGCGGTCGTCTATAGCAATATTTGGAGTTGTCAGCGGAATGTAAAGTAGCTTCTTGAAAGTGAATTAAAATTATATTTCTTGGGTCGTTCGGTCTTCAAAATGTTTCTATGCTTATAGCCAGTCCAGTTTTGGTCTCAAGTATTCCGCTCGATCATGTTATTGAGCGTTCTTATCAGAAGTTGCTATCTTGAGAAATTATCTATGCGTTTCTTCATGTGTCTGATGTGTTTTATCTTGATCACTTGCTGTGTTTTCCAACAACACTTGCGCTAACATTTGCGTTTCTCAAGAGCTAGCACAGTTTTCACGATCACTTATCGCAAGCTTCATCCTAAACACGCTCAATCATTACATTTATTATTTATACACAATTATTATTCGCCAACAAATTAAAGTGTAATGAATCTTTGAAGCCGGAATCAACTTTGGTGAATGCATTCGTAGGTATGTGCCTCGTTTAAGATTCAGAAATTGAATAAAGTGCATCAGCTGAACAGCTACGAGTTTCAAGAGTGCTAAGGCTGGAGACGAAGATGTAGATTGCGAGGTTTCAAGGGATCCTCCGATTAATTTCCGTGAACAGCTACGGGAGAAACTGTGCGAGAGACAAATAAAGCGATAATCCAACAGCTGCTCGATATTGACAATCGGGCGGAAATGATCGAGCGCGATCGGGAAACGATTGTCGAAGACCGTCGTGCGGTGTTGATGAAACGCCAGAAGTGAAGTGTACGTACCTGGGGACGTGTCTCGCGTCAAAGATATTCCGAAAGATAGGCGGAGTGGTTTTACTTGAGATGGACTCGGTGGCGGTGACGGTGCCCCTTCGTCAGCCGATGAAGAAGATGAAGAAGCGGAAGGAGCTCGACGCTCTGGCGCCAGCCCACGCAGTTTCTCGTCGAAGCTCGGGGAAACGCAGCTCACAGGTGATTAATCCAGATTCATTCTCGAAGAAGAACGCGTATTTAGCGACGCAGAAGCATCCTGGAATCTGCAAGCGATGACAAATAAAATGAGATTTTTTTTTCTATGGATAGATAATGAAAAATACACCTTGCATACTTGGTATAGATATCGATTCTGAACGTGAGATTATCTTTTCGAGTCCATTTGTGTCAATGTTTGCATTGCAATTGACCAGAATTGAGGAATGAATCAGGGTGATAATAGGATTGAGAATATTTTGTTCTGTCTGAAAACGATTAATATTATTGAATATTATTAAGAAAGATGAGAAACGATGTAAGAAATTAGAAATATCGCGAGGGACAGTATTATTCTCTTTCAATGTGTTTTTCTTATCTTCCTCAGGAATTGTTAACAGACAGCAGCGATGATCGTTCGGAGTACTCCGGGATACTCCGGAATGTCTCTACCAGAGGCGGTCGTAAGTGCAGGGGTAGAAGAGGTCGAGTTTGTCCTGGATTTCTCAAGGCTTGCAATGCCTTTTTGGCATGTGCCTCCGTGTTAGCAACTGCTAGTTTAATATGGCTATTCATCGACGTTCGCCAACAGCTTACCGCTCTGCGAACCGAGTTAGACCAAGGTACTGAGGTCTAACATTTGCAAAGATAGACATGCTAATATGCTCGTACCAAGTGACTAATTTAAGCTGTAACATTGTGGAAGAGGAGAAAGTTTTGTATGTAATCGAAAATGCAAACGTATGAAAAAAAAAAAAAAAAAACGAACACGAGCTCAAACGTCACTCGTGCACAAACATCGATCTTTGCGTCTCTGTATTTGATATAAGAAGAATAATTTCCGTGAAAAATATATATTTTTAATTAGAACCTTTCATGAAGAATATTTACACCATGTTATTATAATGTTATAATAATTCTCTTGTATAATTACAGTGATAGCGGGTAGCGAGGGTGTGCCAGACGCTTTACAGAAATGCCATTCGTTATCGAGAGATCTCCAGAATAACCAGACTATCATCTTCTCCAGGCTATCTGATCTCAAACAGCAGATAAATAATTTTACGGTACAGGTAAAACCCCCCAAGAGTAACATATATCGGTTAATTCGATTGCAATATCGGCCGGGATGACTCATGTCCTTTTTCGGATCAATACTTTTGCAGCTGGCACATATTCAACAGGACTTGCATAAAGTGCAAGAGTATTTTCAAACCGCACCCGAGATGGCCACTTTGCCGAAACGCTTAAATGAACTGTCAGCCAGCGTTGCGACATTTGGTAGTCAAATAAATGATCTGGGAGCTACGGTGAAGACTTTAAAAGAAACAAACGTGAGGATACAGGATGCACAAACCGCTATGCAGCAAAACGTCAGCAGTATTAAGGTGAAAATCGATGGATTTTAGATATAAGATGGATTTTAAATATAAGATAAATTTATAAAACAATTTTAACTAATTTATTAAATATTTATGTAGCAATCCATGTTAGAATTGTCGAATACCACTCAAAAACCTCAAATTTTGAGCATCAACGGAACGCAAGTTAAAATTGACAAACTAAACTTTACAATATCACATTTAATGAATAATTTAACGCACGTTAACAAAACCTTGTCGAGCAAGTTGCAATGGGTTGCCGATGATCAGGACGAAGATCGCGTAAGTATAATAATCTTTGAAAACTTACTTTTTTAGAAGATAAAAAAATATTCGCGTCAGTTATTAAAATTTTTAAAATTTTATATTAATTTTTTCAATTTTTAATTCTGAAGTAAATTTTTAACTTTAGAATTATGTAAGAAATTAAAAACAATTAAAATTAAAATAAAATAAAATAATAATAATTTAAATAATAATAGTTTTTTAAATTAATAATAATAATTTTTAATAATAATAATAATAATTTTTAAAATTATTATTATTATTACAATTTAAATTGAAATTTATAACAGCTTTTTCGATTAAAATGTCGCGTACATATAATGTAAATTTAAGCGTGTATATATGTGCTTATAAAAAATGTATCAATCATATGTATATATTTCATGTATAAAGAGAAAGTTAGTCTCGCTTCAAGAAGCAACAGCGGCTATTAATACAACAGTGATGTCTTTGCAAGGGGAATGCGTTAAAATGTCTGAACAAACTTCCGTTTTAGCATCAATTCAACAATTAACAGAAAAAGTGCGTATTAAATTAAACACTTAGATCTTACAATCGTTATTAATATCAATTATGATTGACGCAGGTGAGCGAGATACGCGCGACGGACGTGGAACTAATCAGCAAATTCAAGCAATTGGAACAGTCGTACAATGGATTGAAAAATTCCACCAGCATAATGTTCTCGACCGTGTCCGAAATGCAGAATCAGCAACAAGTCAGCAAAATTAAGCTACCGGAATCGTTAAATATAACAACAGACACGGATCGCAGCGCGACAGGTGCGGTAAAGCCATATGTAAGGTCTTGAATTGTCAAGTTTTCATCGTAGATTCGTGGCTATCACGATTTTTATCGATCACTGCTGCTATTTTACAGATGTAAACAATATTGCTCAGAAGAAGATTCTAAATGGCAAATCGGAAACGTGATAAAAGCACGCATTCAGTGCGTGAAGTGATTCTTTTCTGAAAAAACTAGCACTTGAGAAGGAACTTTCACGTGCACGAAAGTTATTTTATACACAATCTGACGAAGCTGTGTGTACTTGTAAATATTAATAAATTAAGTGCGTTATATAATTCCATGTATATAGAAAAAAACTATTTATGATATCATACACGCGTCTCTCCAGTAGAACAATAATCTACTGGAGTTTGCAACTTAAGTGTGATTGATGGAGACTGCGAACGTTGGCCGTGGCCTGAGAGAGGCTATTTACGCCGAGCAATAATTACACCAGCGTATAAAAACATTATTGTTAGTAAAATAAACATTCTATTATTACTCGACCTAGGTTCTCAGAGAAGAATTAGATATGTCAATTCTTAAACAACATTAACACGATATATAGCGGAAGAGGTATTTCAAAAATACTATGGAAAGTACAAAGTCGACAGCCGTCTAAAACACATTCTCGGTTGTACAACGTCTAGCAAAAAAAAAGTATTCATATTTAAGTAACGATAAAACTACCAAGAGTTTTTTCTACTCTTCTACGTTTTATAGAATAGTGTGTTACTGTAAATTTTTTCGATTTTTCTGATATAATTCTCTAGGTTGCAGAGAAAATATACAGGTGATTCAGAAAGTTAATACGTATATAGATGCAACAATATTAAGTTAACAAATAGCAATGTAATAAAGTGATGAAGATGTAAACAGTTGTAAATGGGTAGGTTGATTAAACTTGATTTTTCAATCTTTTCAAGATTGACAAAACACATTAGCAAAATCTATTTCCAACTTTTAATTTAGCATACTATATTTAATTGTATTTAATGCACCGCATATACAGTCAAATGTAAATTTGATTAAAGTGTTAATGTTTCAATAGCAAATTATTTTTACCAGTAAAATTTTCCAGTAATTTTCTATTGTAGTAGTTTATAATATCAAATTTATATAAATTATATTTTTATATAATAATAATTTATATAAGTTTTATTATATAATTTATTATAAAATTTAATGATTTTTATTATTTTTATATCTATTGAGAGTAATTTATGAATTATAAACAGAAATCAGCTTTTCGAAAAACTTGCAACATGCTGACTTTTTAATACATCAGAAAATAAATTGTTTTTCAATTCATTATATAAACAGCATATATCGTGAAAATTAATGATTATTATTTGTATGTAATTATTTCATATGCAGTCTTTGTATAGAAAAATCTACATCTTATATTTTATTCATATCTTATATTTACAATCTTACTAATAGCATATCTCTCAATGATTTCGCGAAATATCGTTAAGTAAACATTCAGTTTGTAAAAAAAAATTTTGACTAGGACATTCTCTTTATTGTATATTAATTTGAAAAAATAATTATGTGCGAGTACATGACAAATTGACTACCATAATATCAAAGTCAATAAACAAAACAGCTATATATGTGGCTAAAGTGATGTAATTTCTTGTATCCTTAAAATTGTCAAATCTAATTCTTAATAAGACTGTTCCATGAAATAAATTTATAATTAATCAAACAATAGTTAAAAATTTATAGTAATTTATAGAAATTTATATTTATATTGTATTTTTAAAATTGTGCGAGAGAAAGACGGTTTCTAATTCTAATTTTCAAAATTCCAAGAAAATTACTCCATTATATTATCTCTATAAGCGATATTACCTCAATTTGAGTCGAATAAAAAATTGTAACAATTTTTTTTATTTTCTCAATTGAATATTTTCTATTTTATGGACATATTTATAATTTTCTTTTTCAATTTGTGCATTTTTTTCAAAAAGAAAATAGATTTTTCTCGTAATTTAAAGAAAACTTCGATCTTGACATTCCTTTGAGAGTGATTGATCGAATCTCGCAATTTTATACGATGTGGAACAAATCAAAGCATGTTTTTAAACGTCTTTAGTTACATTCATTTTCTGCATGCTTAATTTCGAGCTAAATTTTTCACCTAATTCGATATAATGTCGTGTTATAAATTCTTTACGTACTTTAGAAAATCAGCATTGTATGTACATCCGATAAATATTCGTAGTCGAATATAATTGACAATAAATAGATAATACGAAATCGTGTTTACACTTTGCTGATATTAAATTAAATATACATACGAATGTTTCTGTGTATGTGACTCTAAAAGAGTCTTATACTATAACATATATCTCACTTACGTGTGTCTTTTTACATTTTTATAAGATAAACAAGCATAGAAAAGAGAATATTATAGTTAAATAAGCATAAAAAAGAAAATATACATAAACATAAAATGTATATATGTGTGTGTGTGTGTATTTTATGTTTATACTTTTTTATGTTTATGCTTTTTTATGCTTATCCATAATATAATCAGCATTTTTATTTTATACAGAAATTTAGAAAAAAATATCACGTCACGAATATTACTGTGAATTATATATATGTTATTTTCTTTTATATATATATATATATATATATATACATATATATCCAAATTTACATATAAATTTTACATATACGTATATACATACATACATATATATATATATATATATATATATATATATAAATTTATATATAATAAATTTATATATACATTAAATTTACATATTATATATATGTAAATTTTCCTCTTTATTTGGAGCAAGGAATAAATCTTTCTTTTTTGTACAAACTAAGAGTATAAATTATATTATATTAATTTATTATATAATAAATTTACATAATTTATATATATATATAAATTAATAAGTATATGTATCACGAATATATATATATATATATATATATATATATATATATTCGTGATACATATACTTATTAATTTTTTTAGAAGTGAAGTAAAAACTGATAATAAAAACAATTATTCCGCATTTATAGAGGAAAACTTTATATATAATGCGTATATATACATATTTACATACTCACTTGATGTTAATCACGCGAAAATCATTCGATCATCCTGTTTGAAACGGAAAAAAAATAAATCTCTTGATTCTACAAATCAAGAATGTACGAGACACGCACACGTTTTACTTTCGATCGCGAGATTGGGAGGATTCTTAGATGGAGCGCGATTTGAAACTACGCACCATTCAAGGCCAATGATGTAAACAAAGCAGCGTGGTTGTTCTCGATCATTGACCCTGCCAACCGCGTGTCTTCGGATGAATCGGATGACGAGCGCAGGAATTTCACGATCGATCGATCTCCAGCTGATCTCGCGTCACGTTCCGCGCAACAATTCGCATCTTGCTCGATCTTCGCTATCGATCGATTAATCGACGATCGATTGCGACATCTCTGCGACATCGGTGAACTGCAGGATCTTCATTATCCGTGTGTCACAAGCGTAACCTCGCGAAATATGCGTGTACCTCATCATTTAGAAGTACTTAACAAGCTCAGAAAATTACGCAACCGCGTGTAAGATGCGAGCGAACCGCTAAAGACCTCATAATCTTTTCGCGCTCCGAATTAAAATTTGTATACCTCCCAATAATCATCGAGCGTTGCAAAAAGTTAGCAGCCTCTCTCCGGAATATCTCAATAAATAATAAAAAAATCAATTAAAAACCTTAAAAATTAGTAGCCTTGGGTCCGGTGAAGTCAACTTCCGGCTTTGTTTGCGCGTTCGCTAGAGTTCCGGCAAATTACGAGACCTCAAAAAGCGAAAAAAAGGACCAGCGAGCAGCGAGAGAAGACGAGAAGAGAGAGAGAGGGAGAAAGAGAGAAGGGAAGAACGCGCGCGCGTCAGTGGTGGGGAAAGCCCGTGGGTCGGTGGTAGGGGAAGCCCGCGGGTCGATGGTGGGGGGCCGAGCGCGCGTATCGTATTACGTCAGGTCAGGAAGAGAGAGAAAGAGAGGGGGAAGGGGGAAAGAGACGGAGAGGCACGTCACGTCGTCCAGGCGTCCCTTTGACATCTGCGCATTTCTCGCGCTCGCTCAGGGGAAAACTCCAAAACAAGCAACATGGCGGACCCGAGCAACGAGCCTGCATCGTCGAGCGGCGTCTCGGAGCAGGTCGCCGCGACGACGGCGGCCGTCGCCCACGCGGCGTCCATTCGCGAGGACCTCGACAAGCCCGAGGGCTTCCCCGAGCCGGACAAGAAGCGGCGCAAGACGACGAACGGACGTCCCGAGAGCGACGCCGCGAAAACCGAGCAGAAATTGGAGCACCGTCTGGGCGGTATCCTCTGCTGCGCAGTTTGTCTCGATTTGCCACGAGCGGCCGTCTACCAGGTAAGTCGCCCGCCCGCCCCCTCCCCCTCCGTCCTTAGGCGGGATCAGCGCGTCCCGCTTATGACGACGACGACGACGAGCACGTGGACGTCGTCGTCGTCGTCGTTGTCGTTCTTTTTGAAAGAGATTCTCTCTTGTCGAGTATCGAGGCGCGGCGTTCATGAGGATAATTGCGACGTATGCCCCCTCCCCTCCCTCCCCCTCCCCCTATCCTCTCCCTCGGCGACCTCGTCGATCGACCGGACTTCACCGGACTGGGAAAGTCGATCGGTTTTTCAGATAGTGTAACGCACAATAGTGTCCCGAGGCAGTGTGCCATTCGTTCGCATCAGCTTCGAGTTCTCGATGGATACGCCAAGTACTGTTTATCGAGCGCGAGGAGACGCTTAGGGCCCGCAACGCATCGTCCTCTGGACGTCGTCTGGTTTTGCTCACTGACAGTTGGAGATCTTGCAAAGTACATTTTTTTTTCTTTTTTTTTATAAGCGTAGAGATCTCCCTTTCGGCGAAAGAAGAAAGGAAGGAACTTACATGAGTGAAAAAACGCAGAATTCTAGCATTATTATTATTGTTATATTATTGTTATATTATTATTTTATTGTTTGCAGCAGACTTCTCCTCCTGTGTGTGTGATATTTTATTTTTTTTTATTCTTTTCCACTAAAAATATTTTTTCCTCTTTTCCTCCTCGACAATATTGCAGAGGCTTATGGAATATTATAAAGTTATTTTTGTTGAATAGTTGCATTTTTTTTTGTTAACATTCATCAAATAATAATCACTGGTATCGAGCTGGATGATTTTCCTCGTGTCTTCTAACTCAACATTGATGTAATATATGATAAAATAAGTACAAAATAATCCTTACTTATAATAGTACAATAGTATAACAGTCCCCTAGTCTATAAACCAAGCTTCATACACAGGTCTAATAGAATGAGTTTGTCTGTTGAGACAAGTTTGTCCACGAGACATTAAGTTCTACAGGTAGGTATTATATTTTTTTTTCTTTTTATACGTCACAGAGATGACATGTGTCATTTTTATTGATATACATGCATAGAGGAAAGAAAAAAAAGAGCCCTTTCCTGACCTATATATATAAAAAATATGAAATAATTCCTTTTAAAATATATATTCTCATGAATATATTAAACTTTAGCTTATTTAAATTTTATATATGTGTACGCATAATTTTATATTGAGAAATTTCTACAATATTGTTGATTTATCTAAGAAAACAACATCTTTCTGTGCGGTATCTTATCATAACAAAAAGTTACACGCACAGAATTTTCTCTATATGCACATCTATTATTTTCAGTTGAAGCTCATTACAATTGTGTGCCTTCATATAAAATGCAGTGCGCATATATATATAATTTCAACTGGAGAAAAGTAAGAAGAATTAAAATTAATTATATAAATACATTAATTAAATTTCCACTGGAAAAATGAGAACAATTAAAATTCTTATAAATAGTTTCCTCAAATAGAATATACAGTAATATTCGCAACTTACGTTGAATTTATGTATGCATGTAGCTCATTTAGAAGAAAATGATATAACGATACTTGTTTGTCGATGAAACTGTTTGTAGACTTCCCAAATCCATACTGGTGCGTTGTTAATCTCATCTTCAATACTTCTCTCATTGAATATTATTGAACTTGAAAGAAAAAAATGATGAGAAATTATATATAATTAACTGACTATAACTATTTGTATCGTAGCACAAAAGAGTTGTATTACCTATTTTGGTATCCCTAATGTTAGATATATATATATATATATATATATATATATATATATATATATACATATATGTGTGTGTGTAAAGTCCCCTCTCATGTGCAAGATGCACACACAAATACTTTGATTTGTGATACGAGAACTTATATCCATTGTATTGTTTTAGTTGTAAACTTTTACGAACATCCTGCACTACCCTCTCTTTTCTTTTTATATAGGACTTGTCGCATTTATAAAAATTTATAATGTTTGTTTCTCTATTGATTCGTCGAGAATAGCAGGATCTGAAACTTCGTATTAGTTTGTTAGTGCCACTCTAAATCGGTTATAGATAAATAGTGAAGTATTTAAGATTCTAGATCTCTGTGTGTGTAGTTGCTTAGTATATAATATAACGATATATTTGGAAACTTATGAAACACACTATGTTTACTAGATAAGAGAGACAGGAATACATATATATTACTCAGAGCACACAATATAAGGAATATATAAAGATCTATGTTGTGTTAGATTAAGTGTAACGAGACTGTGATGCCCATCAGTTATAGTTAGCAGCGAGAGAGTGAGAGTGAGGGAGAGAAAGCGAATACAGAAAGAACAAGATTTGTACAAACTGTATAGTGCGAAACAAAATAAATACTCTTAAAGGTTATTAGTTAGTTATTTCGCATAAAACACCCCCTTTTCACTTGTCCTACGTGTCATCATCCTCATATCTTCCTTTCTGTCGTTGATACATTGGCACTGTTGAAAGTAATAATAAGAGGAAAAATAACAATTCTTTAGAAAATGTTAATTTTTAGACAGACAATATATCTCAATAAGTGCATTGTATGATTAATGAGTATCCGTACAATTTTGTGTTTCAGGTTTAAACATCAAAATGAGGGTAATATACATGGCACTAATTTTTGTTGTTCTATTTGGGTTTATTGCGTTCTGGGGTTTCTGTAGTGTGTATACATAAGTAAGAGAATGCGAAACAAATTGAATACTATACGTAACATAATGGAAAAAGAGGAACTTGACTTATCTCATTGTATTAATTATTAAATTAATAGAGAGTAGGTTGTATTTTTTCATGCAAAGAGTCAAAGAGATCTATATAACTTAGAGAGTTTTTCTTTATGCATACATTTTAAATAATTCAAGTGCATTGTTATACCTTATAATGTTTGCCAATATGAAAGCTAGCTTTTTACATGAAAGAAATATAATTATGTAAATAAGGACGTTAATAATACATACTGCAATGATGTTCACAGTGTGCTAATGGACACTTGATGTGTGCTGGTTGCTTCACTCATGTCCTCGCAGATGCCAGGCTGCGGGATGAGATGGCAACATGTCCCAACTGCAGAATCGAGATCAGCAAGACCAGCGCATCTCGAAATCTCGCAGTTGAAAAAGCCGTGTCTGAGTTACCTGCCGAGTGTCAATATTGTGCGAAGGAGTTCCCACGAAATTCCTTGGAACACCATGAAGAATCTACCTGCGAGGAAAGGTAAATTTGTAATAGAGAGAAATTTTTATGAAAAAGTTGTATGGGAGATTCTTCACCTCGATACACATATTTCTAATCGTTACTGATCTTTACAGTATAATTACAGGGGGACATGGACTGCAAATATTTACGTAGTAGAGAATAATGTAGAGATATACGTATAATGTAGAGAAGGCGATTATTTGTACACAAACTGTTCTTCCCAAATTTTCATAAATTTAATATATTATCTATATTTAATGTATATTAAATCTAGGATATATCTATACCTTAATTTTTATATATATATTAAAAATTTAGAATATATATTATTTATAATCTATATTAAATTTAGGATAATATTTTCTTATATTTAATTTAATATACGTATCTAAGATTAGAGAATCACGTAAAATATGTAACATGTCCAGAATTTTCCTAAAATGCCCTGTTGCTGAACTTTCTCATCTGTCATGTTTATTCTTGCTTGTCTCTTTTATTATTTTATTAACGTTCGCATTAATATCTAATTACTTATACAGGATATCTAGTTGCAAATATAATAGAATCGGCT